TTTTTTTTTTTTTTTGGTGACTTTAGTGTGTATCGGTGCTCTGTACACAGTGACCTGGTCAAATCTGTGTGTGCTTAAAAAGAGTACCACCTCACGATAAATCGTTGAGGGCTTAATTGTCGCCCTTAAGCAACTAACAAAGAAATCACAGTGCAACGCAGATGATGAAAATGAAGCTGAGGTGAATCAAGAGGTGGGCAGTAATCGATTAAATGGAACACGGTGAGGGATTACAGCTCTGATAATCGATGGTGCTTTTGGTATTACACATAATTTGTGGCGAACAAGGCAACGGGGCCAACTAGAGAGGGATTAAGCACAACAATGTTAGAAAATTTCTTCGGTACACTCTTGATTAGTCCAAAAAAGTGACAGCAATGCACAACAACACTTCGTTTTTTCAAGAACTCAACGCTGTTAAGGGGGATAAGCTGGTCTTTCATTTACGAGAAAAACGAATAACGGGAAAGACGACGGGTAGAAAGGGAGACAAACTAGTGAAGTTGAGGAGAAAAAAAAAAGTTCTCCGAATATCATTTACAACAATCTGACTAAATACAACACGGAACATGAGAAAAAAAGGAAAAACTATAATCACCAATCAACATTACCTTTATAATAAGACATGCACGTATTCAAAGTGATGTGCAAAAGCACACCGGCATGATCACGAAACGAACTGGTTTGGGGAGTTGCGTGAACACACCAATGTATACAAAATATAACAGATAACCTAATATTCACACAGCGTGTGTGCTACTTGTATTTGTTGTAATAAATCCTGTTCGAACAGAAACGCGGAGACATTTCGTGCGACAACTCATCGCTCGGTATATAGCGAACTCGGAGAGATTACAGATAAGAAAGTGTCACCATGGTGAGTACAAAATGAAGCCGAGAAAAAAAATTTTTTTTTTTAACGGGAATCGGGAGATCGATCCTGTGCATAAAAAGAACCGCAAAAAAAAAACATGAATTGGAATAATGAGGCTAACGCACCAATTCATTTCTCGAGCAACTGATTCCGGACAATTTCCGCAGCAAACTGTTGTGCCTGGCGCCGAACTCGTTTTTCGTACTCGATTCTGTAATTACATCATAAAAACGAGAGGGATCAGTGCTCCTCCGCATATGGGAATACAGAAATCCGCACCAAAAATACGCGAGCATCACCACTGCCCGTTCTTGCTTCAACTCAGTATTGCACTCAAACGTTCGCTCTCTCCACAGCAACATCAACTCACACCCCACCAAGACGAATAAGGCGCCATGCTGCGAAATACACCTGATCCAGTTCTTTTCTTTGGCACAGACTGCCTGAAATTATAGGAAAATAACAAAATGATGCGTGCTTGCCTGTTTTGACAGTAGATCTGGTATGCATCTGCTTGCGCTGGGTCTTCGATATTCGGATGCGTCAAGAGATCCTGGATGCCAAGCAGGAGCTGACGTACGGTGACAGATGGCCGCCAATCCTGTAGCATGGAGCCTCGTTATTATCCTCATCACTAACTATATGAATGAATGTGGGGAACACAGAGGCAGGGGGCAAATAAAACGCATAAGCTAGGCAATACTGCAGTGTTGTAGGCTTCATGTAACAACAGTTTACCCGTCAACTTTGAACAATAAGAACTAGTTTTAAAGCAAAGAAAGATAACCACCACGCGAAAGAATCAATGAAAGATGAACCGGACTCCATCTGTGACGACAAAAGTGGTACCTTCGATTCGTCCAGCAACGACAAACAGATTGTTCCTGAAGGATATACATTTGGATGGAAGAGGGGCGGTTCGAACTTGCATTTTGGCG